AATCAAAACATTTAAGTCTCTTACATTTTTTTATAATTTTTTATAAATAAATGAGAAAAACATTTTTTTCAAAAATAGAAGGTTATTTGAAACTTAAAAAACTCGGAGATAATTTTGAAGAATAATTTATAAAAATAAACGATGATTATCGATGTAAATATTTGCATAATTAACTTATGATATAAATTCATGATTTATCATACAAATGCTTCATAAATAAATATATTTTATTACAATAATATTTTTGCATATGGTTGTAAAAATGCAATTTTTTTATCATCTGCATAGATAATAACTCAATCGGTAACAACAACAATGCAGTATGATATAAAAGTCGAATAGCTTTGTGTACAGATATTTCAAAAATAATCGGAATAATAATAAGCCGTTAAATTAATATTATGTTACAAATTAGTCGTCTCAGTTTGAACAATTACGCGAACTTCCGATTGCCCGATGTTTTTAAGTATCTTGTACCTGTGTACCTGTGTAAAGATAGAACCCCTCCAACATTGAAAAACATAAAGTTTCTATAGCTTTCGATTGCTCATCGTTTACACACTTCTAGTAAAAAAGTTATTAACAAAACAAATTTCGGGGGGCCATCTTCATACTAGCCCCACAACTATGAATAAATTAAATAAAAAATAGCTCAATTAATAGATATTCGTTTGCACATTGCAAAACAGGTCGATTTTTCGTTTGCACACCTCTAGTTAAAAAGTTATTAACAAAGTCTTGGGGGGCTATCTTAACACAGGTGGAAGTATATGGAAAAAACTATGTGGGAATTAGATGGGAAAAACTATGTGGGAAGAAAGTGGGAAAAACTATGTGGGGAGAAGATGGGAAAAACTAAGTGGGAAGAAGATGGGAAAGACTATATGGGAAAAACTATGTGGGAAGAAGATGGGAAAATCTATATGGGAAAAACTATATGGGAAAAAGATGGAAAAAACTATGTGGGAAGAAGGTGGGAAAAACTATGTGGGAAGAAGATGAAAAAAACTATGTGGGAAGAAGATGGGAAAAACTATATGGGAAAAACTATGTGGGAAGAAGATGGGAAAAACTATGTGGGAAAAAGATGGGAAAAACTATGTGGGAACTAGATGGGAAAAACTATGTGGGAAAAACTA